AAAAAGGATTGGTCATCTATTAGTAGTATATTATTCAAGTTGAAGCTGATTTCGTTAAATAAGAACTAAGATCTCATCACCGAACCGAAATAAAGACGGATGCTGGAGTATTTTTATGCATGTATGTATTTACATCTATACAGCATGTAAAACCTATTGTACCACTTTGTTATTCTTGATAACACTTTATTACTTGATCAGTGAATCATTGAAACCAAGAGTTACATGACACTTGAATATGTGGGATAACACTAGAATGTAAATGATTAAAACAAATTTCAAGTTATGCTGACAATATACAGATCTGTAAATGAATTTTCTTGTAGAATTTTATGGTAAAAATATTTTTTAATTGAATGCATAGATCAAATCAAACTTATTTCAAGGTTTGACTTGCTATGTGTTATTGTGATTACCACATCACTTTGATAATACATTGGAATTTTAAACCTATTTAAATGTGACTAAACATATCTTTTTATTGCCGTTTGTATAGTTAAGTTAACTTAATAACAATGGCATAATATCATATTTGGAACAACATTTCCTTTTATTAAGATAAATCGTATGGTACTTCGTTGCAGTTTGAAACTGTTTAAGGGAGTTCATATAAAGCAAAATGTATATCTGTATAATATTTCAAATTCGTTTGTCCATGACTGATAATTTGATCATGCAATTCAAATCAATATACATGGATAATGATCGTCCTTTACTACAACTAGAATGATTTGAAATCTAGAATACTACTTAGACTATTGTAAACAGAAAACTAATCACTCGAGAATTACTATAAAAATTTAAAATAAACCTAAACGTTTGATTGTATTCACTAAGAATGCTATTTCAAAATTACTTAACAATTTACATTTGCTAAAAGCATCTTAAAATGGTATGGCAGATATTCCATTAGACTTTAAGTACAATTTCTTTACTCTCTTCTGAAATAATTTAAAACTACTGGCATCCCTCTTGGTTCTATTTTTTTAAAAGACGATTTGTTTTAATGCTAGAGATGAATGAAATGTTAATACTTGTACCTGATTCTTTAACTTTATGTGCTGCTGCAGGGTCAGGTGTTACTGTAACAACAAATATATATTTTCAAGGAAACAATCTAAATATATCCAAAACATTGAGATTAATAGCAACAAATACTGAATTAAATCATTGTTGAACATTGAATGTCCTTTTGTGCCTATCACTGTTATACTCAAGCGTTTAGATTGAGAATTCTTTGCAAAAACTATAAATTTTCTTATTTAACAAAGCGATAGCAAAACAATTCTGATGTCAGGTAACTTAATTAAATTATCCATGTGTAACAATTTTTGTCAGTGTCAAAATATTGTGTTTTATCAATTTTGAGGCTGTAATGACGGACCGATATGTACCACTAAATCCACCTTCTGAATCTATGGATGTGAATATGGAAATAGAATTTGATGTATCTTTGAATTGGAATATTTACTTATATAAATTGAAGAAGCAACCACTATAGTTGAACTTGTTGATGGCATTATTGGAGAGGATGTAAACGGCGTTATAGCAGATGTATTTATTTCAGTTCTTGGCATCGTAACATAAGTTTCCAAAGAAGTTGTCCCTGTAACATAGAACAATCAAATAACAGAAGTACAGCTAGGCTGGCAATCAATCACACACCTCAATAAAAGACATTTTAAACCTCAAAAAGGCAATATTTACCGAGGCATAGTAACATAAACTTCCAAGCGTTAACTATGGAAAGCCATGGCTGTCTGATATTGTTCTTTTTCAATTTATGTAACCATTTGGATAATATATGATTTCACTTCGACTATATATGAATTGAAAACACCTTCTTATATAACCGGAATCCATTGTATTAATCCATAGTTACAATATATGAAACCATACCGTCAGTGTATGAAACCGAGTTAGCAATATATAAGTTGATTTTCTCAATATATGATTCCAATTCTTCAATATATGTTACCAAAGTAGCCATGTATGGAACCAGATGTCCTTATATGAAACCGAATTATCAATATATTAATTCATTTTTCAATATATGAAACCAATGTATCAATTTATGAAACCAAAGTGGAAATATATAAGTTGGTTGTTACATTATATGATACCAATTCTTCAATATATGGTACCAAAGTAGCCATATATGGAACCAGATGTCCTGATATGAAACCGAATTATCAATATATTAATTCATTTTTACAGTATATGAAACCAATTTATCAATGCATGGAACCAAAGTAGCAATATATGAGTTGGTTATTACATTATATGATACCAATTCTTCAATATATGGTACCAAAATAGCCATATATGGAACCAGATGCCCTTATACGAGTATGAAACCGAATTATCAATATATTAATTCATTTTTACAATATATGAAACCATTTTATTAATGTATGGAACCAAAGTAGCAGCTAGTATATAAGTTGATGTTACATTCTATGATAGCAATTTTCATTATATGGAACCAAAATAGCCTATTTTCAAGTCAAAAATTTAAAGGCCGAGGTCACTGGGTTCTGTTATTACAATGCATACACTTTTTCATGAAATCAATTATTATTTGACTGATTATTTTTTACACTTTGTGAGTAGATTAACCTTGATGTGTCCTTCTGGCCATGCCTATTTTTGATCAAAGGTAAAGGTCGAGATGAACTTATTTTTTAAATATGTTTTTGTTAATTGTCAGTACGACTCAATAGCTTAAAGATCCTGTAACACAATTTTTTCGTGGTTTTATTTCATAAATATGATGCTCAAATTAAGATTTGTTAATATTGTAAGTTCCAATAGGCATTATTTATAAAGATATTACCCAATTGAACATTTCATGTAAATAAAGGGAGGTAATTAGAAATTTATTTTCTGTAAATTCTAAGTCAAATTTTCCAATAAGAAATGGATGCATGTAATTTATTGATTAAATATAATATGCACAAATATTTGCAGACACATTTTACATATTCTTGGATATTTGAAAATTGTTTTATTTGCATAATTATATACATATATAATATTTTGCAAGTGTGGTATACACACAGTAACAATATCAATCACAAAACATACAGGATCTTTAAATTATGACATACAACTCCTACATATATAACGATAATTTTTGCCTGCCCAGCCCATTTTAAGTGAATGTGACGTTAAATTCAAATATTTCCTTATTCAGAAAATGTGCAGTATGCAGTCAGTGAAGCACGCTGTTCTTTAACAAGTAATATTGGCGCGAAACTGTAATACCGGTGCAAGGATAGAATACAGCCTTTAAAAAAGTCCCGTCAATATAATGACATTTTGGTTCAATATATTGCTACTTTGGTATCATATAATGTGAAAATCAACTTATATATTGCTACTTCGGTTACATATATTGATAAAATGGTTTCATATATTGTAAAATTGATTTAATATATTAATAATTCGGTTTCATATAAGGGCATCTGGTTCCATACATGACTAACTTGGATCCATATATTGAAGATCTGGTATCATATAATGTGATAATCAACTTATATATTGATACTTCGGCTCCATACATTGATAAAATGGTTTCATATATTGTAAAAATGAATTAATATATTGATAATTTGGTTTCATATAAGGACACCTGGTTCCATACATTGTTACTTTGGTTCCATATATTGAATAATTGGTATCATATACATGTATTGTAATAACCAACTCATATATTGATACTTTGGTTCCATACATTGATCAAATGGTTTCATATATTGTAAAAATGAATTAATATATTGATAATTTGGTTTCATATAAGGACACCTGGTTCCATACATTGTTACATTTGTTCCATATATTGAATTATTGGCATCATATATTGTAATAACCAACTCATATATTGCTACTTTAGTTCCATACATTGATAAAATGGTTTCATATATTGTAAAAATGAATAAATATATTGATAATTTGGTTTCATAAAAGGACACCTGGTTCCATACATTGTTACTTTGGTTCCATATATTGAATTATTGGTATCATATATTGTAATAACCAACTCATATATTGCTACTTTGGTTCCATACATTGATAAAATGGTTTCATATATTGTAAAAATGAATAAATATATTGATAATTTGGTTTCATATAAGGACACCTGGTTCCATACATTGTTACTTTGGTTCCATATATTGAATTATTAGTATCATATATTGTAATAACCAACTCATATATTGCTACTTTGGTTCCATACATTGATAAAATGGTTTCATAAATTGTAAAAATGAATAAATATATTGATAATTTGGTTTCATATCAGGACATCTGGTTCCATACATTGTTACTTTGGTTCCATATATTGAATTATTGGTATCATATATTGTAATAACCAACTCATATATTGCTACTTTGGTTGCATACATTGATAAAATGGTTTCATATATTGTAAAAATGAATTAATATATTGATAATTCGGTTTCATATAAGGACACCTGGTTCCATACATTTCTACTTTGGTTCCATATATTGAATAATTGGTATAACCAACTCATATATTGCTACTTTGGTTCCATACATTGATAATTCGGTTTCATATAAGGACATCTGGTTCCATACATGGCTCCTTTGGTAACATATATTGAAGAATTGGAATCATATATTGAGAAAATCAACTTATATATTGCTAACTCGGTTTCATACACTGACGGTATGGTTTCATATATTGTAACTGTGGATTAATATAATGGATTCCGGTTAAATAAGAAGGTGTTTTCAAGTAATATATAGTCAAAGTGAACTTATATATTATCCAAATGGTTAAATAAATTGAAAAAGAACAATATCAGACAGCCATGGCTTTCCATAGTTAACAGTACATGAATAAGTACGTTTTGGGAGTTAAATAGGTTTTAAGGTTGCAGTAAAATATCACCACGAGCTGACCTTCATCATCATTTGATCATTTTCCCATATAGATAATATATACTGGCACTAGGATAAATAAATTTATTAATACCAAATAACAAATCATTTAAATGCAATTAGAACAACAATTTTAACTCAGTTGATTGAGTCTGTTCATAAGAAATAATGTAAAAAGTGCAACATATCTCACGCCCATATGCACAAAATCACCCAAATCGCCATGGATATAGGCTCCTATACGCCACGACCTAATCTTTGTCTAGGAAATGAGAAATAAATAACCTATCTACCGAAAATTCCATGCAATATCCTGGTCATATTTATTTACAAAAATGCACTTGCACGTATGTCCACAAACATGACAATATGATCTACACATAAATAAGATTGACAATGGTATCAATATTTTAACGATTTACGTCAAACGCTAAGAGTTCTGTCTACACGGCTGAGAACAGAAAATATATAAATTAAACAACGCATTCCTCAGTATAACGCGTTTCTGCTTTATATAATGCGCAGCTAAACATATATTAGCAGTTGTTCTATAAAAGAATGCTGCCGCGGGTAATATTAGATTCCCGGTAGAGTAAAAGACATAATTTGGAAAATTCGGTTTGAATATTCTCTGACAAACGATATCCATAAAATATGTTAAGTGTTAATCCAAAATATGCATATGAGATTAAAGCAGATTTTATCAATATTAAATCCCCGTTAATGGCTGTCCGGAATATAGGTTACAAGCAGACGAATCAAAATCGGCGTTACGTAAATTGAGCACCATGCACACATAACACTTATTTTACAGTTTCACATGGCGTTCTGTGATGGTTTACAATGCTGTTTGTTTTGTATTCTTGTAAACATTCACATGCTTAAGAAGGAAAAATGAATGCTGAAAACAGGAAAGTCCTTAAGCTTTTTTTCAGGTAAATTTGCGTAACAAAAGGAATTCGGACAACTTATTTAACAAATAAAGAATCGTAAATAAAGTCGCATATTGAAAGGAGATTTCGGTGAATATCCAATATAACAAAAAATACAGTTGTTTATAATTAAAGTCCATGAATGGCGAGTGAACACATTAGCTTTGCGTGAAAATGTCAGCGATTGCGAGGAAAAATAAGCGTTAACTTGGATTATTCATTCAAGAAACAAAAGAGATGACCCGTATTAGAGCCTGAGCTAGAAATCATCATGAAAATCTTTCTGACAACTTTTCAAGATATTTGGGATCAAAATCGTATCCCTTTGTTCGAATGCACTTGAGCAGTACTAGGACAAATATCCAACAATTGAGGCAAAAATGTGTCCACTAGATTTTAAAGAACTAAATGCTGTCGGGCGACAAGCGACGGACGACGGACATTCGACGATCCAGAAAGTTCACCCTTCAGTTGAATAATTACCATTTCTTAAATTATAAAAATAAGTATCGTGTACTTATTTTAAATTTAAAATATAATAGATGTGATTTGAAGAAAAAGATGTGAATATGACATACCTGTACTGATGACAGAAGACAAGCTACTATTCAAAGTGAAGGACATTGTTGAAGTTGGTGTCAAAAGAATCGATTCTATAAAGAGATATGAATGAATTTCTGTCAGTTTTGAGCAATAGGTACAACAACAAAAGAACACGTCCAGTTCTATAAACGTGATCATAACTTTCTACATTTTTGTTTTCTTTTGAGACTAGTAGTAGTAGTAGTAGTAGTAGTAGTAGTAGTAGTAGTAGTAGTAGTAGTAGTAGTAGTAGTATAGTAGTAGTAGTAGTAGTAGTAGTAGTAGTAGTAGTAGTAGTAGTAGTAGTAGTAGTAGTAGTAGTAGTAGTAGTAGTAGTAGTAGTAGTAGTAGTAGTAGTAGTAGTAGTAGTAGTAGTAGTAGTAGTATAGTAGTAGTAGTAGTAGTAGTAGTAGTAGTAGTAGTAGTAGTAGTAGTAGTAGTAGTAGTAGTAGTAGTAGTAGTAGTAGTAGTAGTAGTATAGTAGTAGTAGTAGTAGTAGTAGTAGTAGTAGTAGTAGTAGTAGTAGTAGTAGGTAGTAGTAGTAGTAGTAGTAGTAGTAGTAGTAGTAGTAGTAGTAGTAGTAGTATAGTAGTAGTAGTAGTAGTAGTAGTAGTATAGTAGTAGTAGTAGTAGTAGTAGTAGTAGTAGTAGTAGGTAGTAGTAGTAGGTAGTAGTAGTAGTAGTAGGTAGTAGTAGTAGGTAGTAGTAGTAGTAGTAGTAGTAGGTAGTAGTAGTAGGTAGTAGTAGTAGTAGTAGTAGGTAGTAGTAGTAGTAGGTAGTAGTAGTAGTAGTAGTAGTAGTAGTAGTAGGTAGTAGTAGTAGTAGTAGTAGTAGGTAGTAGTAGTAGGTAGTAGTAGTAGTAGTAGTAGTAGTAGTAGTAGTAGTAGTAGTAGTAGTAGTAGTAGTAGTAGTAGTAGTAGTAGTAGTAGTAGTAGTAGTAGTAGTAGTAGTAGTAGTAGTAGTAGTAGTAGTAGTAGTAGTAGTAGTAGTAGTAGTAGTAGTAGTAGTAGTAGTAGTAGTAGTAGTAGTAGTAGTAGTAGTAGTAGTAGTAGTAGTAGTAGTAGTAGTAGTAGTAGTAGTAGTAGTAGTAGTAGTAGTAGTAGTAGTAGTAGTAGTAGTAGTAGTAGTAGTAGTAGTAGTAGTAGTAGTAGTAGTAGTAGTAGTAGTAGTAGTAGTAGTAGTAGTAGTAGTAGTAGTAGTAGTAGTAGTAGTAGTAGTAGTAGTAGTAGTAGTAGTAGTAGTAGTAGTAGTAGTAGTAGTAGTAGTAGTAGTAGTAGTAGTAGTAGTAGTAGTAGTAGTAGTAGTAGTAGTAGTAGTAGTAGTAGTAGTAGTAGTAGTAGTAGTAGTAGTAGTAGTAGTAGTAGTAGTAGTAGTAGTAGTAGTAGTAGTAGTAGTAGTAGTAGTAGTAGTAGTAGTAGTAGTAGTAGTAGTAGTAGTAGTAGTAGTAGTAGTAGTAGTAGTAGTAGTAGTAGTAGTAGTAGTAGTAGTAGTAGTAGTAGTAGTAGTAGTAGTAGTAGTAGTAGTAGTAGTAGTAGTAGTAGTAGTAGTAGTAGTAGTAGTAGTAGTAGTAGTAGTAGTAGTAGTAGTAGTAGTAGTAGTAGTAGTAGTAGTAGTAGTAGTAGTAGTAGTAGTAGTAGTAGTAGTAGTAGTAGTAGTAGTAGTAGTAGTAGTAGTAGTAGTAGTAGTAGTAGTAGTAGTAGTAGTAGTAGTAGTAGTAGTAGTAGTAGTAGTAGTAGTAGTAGTAGTAGTAGTAGTAGTAGTAGTAGTAGTAGTAGTAGTAGTAGTAGTAGTAGTAGTAGTAGTAGTAGTAGTAGTAGTAGTAGTAGTAGTAGTAGTAGTAGTAGTAGTAGTAGTAGTAGTAGTAGTAGTAGTAGTAGTAGTAGTAGTAGTAGTAGTAGTAGTAGTAGTAGTAGTAGTAGTAGTAGTAGTAGTAGTAGTAGTAGTAGTAGTAGTAGTAGTAGTAGTAGTAGTAGTAGTAGTAGTAGTAGTAGTAGTAGTAGTAGTAGTAGTAGTAGTAGTAGTAGTAGTAGTAGTAGTAGTAGTAGTAGTAGTAGTAGTAGTAGTAGTAGTAGTAGTAGTAGTAGTAGTAGTAGTAGTAGTAGTAGTAGTAGTAGTAGTAGTAGTAGTAGTAGTATATAACCGCCTTTTCTTAACTATCATACATGTAAATTTTTAATTTTTCCTTAACTATCATACATGTAACTTATTTTTTAATTGTTCTACATTGAAGAAAAAAATAAAGCCTACAGTAACATTGTGATCTATATTTACATGTTGACACTACAGCCTGAACAGACGTTACGTCATTTTTTTAATGTTGTTGATTTTCGTTTCTGATGAAGACGTAATAAAATCAAAACTAAAAGAATGTGTTGTCTTGATTTTTTACACTTTTAAACGGAGAATATCACGAGTTGTGGTATCCACGAGGGAAAAAATCCCTACTTACATACAAAATATCTTTTTTTATTGTGTATTTTTCTGCTTTTGCCTATTTTACCTTACGATTAGAGATACCTTCCTCATAATTTTTATCAGTATTGTCTGAACAGTGACTGATGATTCTTTAGAAAAGAAATAGTTCGGCAAGACACCTTTAAACAAATGGAAAATGTATTTCACTGTATTGAAATAAAATCAGTGTAAATACGGAAAACGAAATTCTGCATTTTATTTCATCAACATTTTATTTATCAATAATATCATTTCAATACAAGTATATAACAAAATAATTTACCTGATGAACACACTGCTGATGCTGCCGGTGTCCAGGTACGGGTACTTCCAGTTCCCGTGCAAGTGAAATTCGTCTGTGCATCAAATGTATACGATGGATTACAAGAAATACTTGCAAACTGTTTTTTGTTTCCAAAATAACAAGGTTGCCCGTTTGTTACCGTAAGATTGCACTTTCCATCTGTAAGTATTAATACGCAATTACGCTTGATAAAAATCATTTCTAATAATTTTATTTACACCGTAGTATTAATTATTCTCGCAGAAATCATAAACAATATCATATAATCTTTATAAGGCTTTATTAAAAAAAAAACTTAAATTAGGTTATGTATGTACTATGAACAGTTATGTAGTTTGATTACAAGATTAAAACTTATTTACGGCATCTTAAGTCACTGGCCAACAAACTTTCACAATGGAATAGATACGTATTTGCTGATTTAATAGCGTCTTATTTGTTTGTTTTCATGCCATTAAATACGTACATGGTAAATGATCTGTCAGAGTTTAAATTATAACTCTGGAACATGTTTAGGTTATCAAGTACACCAAAGTTTAGAATGTTCCAAAAGAAAACATAATCATCGAACTTGAAAAATGTATGCTTGTTTCGTGGGTTAGCATCCGTTTCAGGCCGTCTAAAATTACCTTTATGAATCAAATATGATTTCAAATAATTCTATGAGATGAGTACATAGCTATTAAACCTATATTTAGTAATCCTAGCCCGATAGAATCAGCACAGTTCTAAACAGTGTATAATGAACTCTTTATTTCACACTTAATCTTTTTTTAAGAGAACCCACATTGAATTTAACAAATTAAATTCAGTTTCTTCGGGTGCAATATTGATTTGTTATGAATCTTTTGGACTGGGAAAACAATACAAACTAGGCTAGATAGAGCGTAGTTTGGATTTGATATGGACTCCTATCGAACAAAACAAAACAAAAACAGCCATTTTTTTTTCTTTTGAATGATTTACAACAACCTCATGCAAAAAAGATTAAAGAGAACCGAGTATAATCTTATTTTTTTAACTGATTGTATATAGAGGAGTAGCAGAGCGTGACGTTACCTGTGCAAGGAGTTTGGAAATTATTGGGCGTAATGATGCAAATACTTATGCATGTGCAAATTATTTTCTTCAAAAAAGTTAACCTACTTATGTGCAACAATATGACTAATAGTGGGGCGGGAAATTGAGAAAATAGTGCAAATTGTAATACAAGCATGAAACTTTCAGGAAATCATCTTAAGCCCGCGTAGATTTCAAAAGTGAAGTGGGCCCAAAAATATCTCTGCTCTGAATGATGGCCGCCTTTTCAATGCCGCCATATAAATTTGACGTACATAAATAGCTCATTCAGCCAAACTTTTTGTAAAGACCTGAAACTTTCACCAAAGCATGTATAAAGTGTCTTCTTTACAAAAATTTAAATCTTAAAAATTCCGCTTTCAAACCTCTCCTTAATCCAAGATGGCGTCCAATATGGCCGTCAATTTTGCAAAACTGTTTTATAATATCTATAGTATAATTTGTAGCAAAAATTATGTTTATTTCGATACAAAAAGTGTTCAAATATATGAGAAATAATTATATCATATGTAAATCATAATTAAAGTAAAGGTTTTTAAGTATATGTAAAAAATATCGTAAAAGATCAAGAAAAAAATCTCTTTTTTAATATTTCTTTGATTTTGGTTTTCTAAATCTATAAGCAAAATTTAAAAAAGTTTCTTTATTTCTTATTTATCATCCAATTAAAAATAGGGATTTGTTGTTATCATGTAAGAAAACCATAAAACTGTAGGTTTCTCATTTTTTGTCAAAGTGGGTTGGGTAAATTCACCCGATAATCATAAAAGAAAGACACCAAAATTTACACTGGTAAGTTATTTTGGTTTCTTCGCTTTTTCTGTTAATTCTTATGCAAAACTTCCCTATTAGAATGTATTCTTTATTGGACGAAAGTATTTTCGTCTTTCTTTGGTTTATATACAGAATTTATTTTAGTTTGATTGTGTAGGAAGCTATAAAATATATGTCTTTCTTTGGGTCAAGTAGGTGAGCTAAAATATCAATAAATGCACACACTTTCATTTGTATACACTCAGTAATTAGATTTGGTTGCGTGATATTACTTGTTTCAATATCTTTATATTATTTGTTAATTGTTAATTGTAAAGATATATAAGAAGACAATAAATCAACAAACATGCTTTCAATAGCAAACATGCACATGGATAAGACTTCCATTAACGCATATTATTAACTCCTTCAAAAATTCAAACATATCAAGATGGCTTTAAAGCTAATATCAATGAGATAATGATTTTTGCGTATAGTAAATATAAGGCTACTGTCACATCATCTCACCTTTGTGGTGTGATACAGATGTATCAATGTGTCACCTGACCTGCATACAGTTTTTGATGATTTAAAATGAAATATAAACTGTAATTTATGGTGGCATATTTCTGCCACCAGATAACCTGATAATTATCTAGTAAATTAAGAGGTTAACTAGTTACGTAACTAGTTAACCTCTTAATAAACTAGTTAGTTATCAGGTTAACTAGTTACGTAACTAGTTATTTTTTTCAATAAACAAAAGATCATAACAGGAAATAAATGCATGTTAGTGCCTGCAACTGCCATCATTTTATTATATTATCATCTTAAAAATTAAGTTTCCAAACATATACACTTCTTTCCTTGAAAATCTCATTTACTTAAACCTGCAGCAAATGGTCAACATCCCTACCAGAGGTAACAACGTTCTTGACCTGTTCCTCACAAACATGCCTTCCCACGTACATAGTACAAAAACCCCACCTCCCTTAGGCTCCTCAGATCATGACATAGTCTTTCATGAAATCAAAATTAACAGAGGGCGTCCACTTCAATCAAAGAGGGAAATCCAATGTTATAATAAGACAAACTGGAATTGTTTAAAAAATGACGTAAGTAAATATGCCAAGGTCTACAGTGAACACACCACACTGATCCCAACAAAGCCTTGATTTCCTTCAAGGACGAACTAAACCACCTTTGTTCTATTCACATACCAACTAAAGTCACTAAAACACGTCGAGATCTACCATGGTTAAACAAGTCCATTATTCGCAAAATTAGGAAACGTGATAGAACTTATTCAAACATTAAAAGGTCAAAGTCCCCATCAAATGATTTGGTCAAAAAGCTCAAAGTACTTAAAAGTGAAATCCAAAGAGAAACTAGGAAAGCATACTGGCAATACCTAGACTCTGTCATTTTTAGCCAAGACTCCCAAAATGTGAAAAATAAAAAATTCTACCAATATGTTAAAAGTAATAAAACTGAAAGCTGTGGTGTGGCACCCCTCAAATCAGAAGGACAAACATTTACTGATCCGGTTGCAAAAGCAGATATCCTTAACTCCCAGTTTGAGTCTGTCTTCTCTCGGTCTCAGCCCTTTAGCTTATCCCAGGCTTGCAAACAGAAGCTTATTCCAAAACACCACCCATCTATGCCAGAAGTATCTATATCGGAAGATGGTGTGAAGAAACTTTTAAAAGACCTAAACCCAAATAAAGCTTCTGGTCCTGACCAAATATCCCCTATGTTATTAAAAGAGCTCCATCAAGAGGTTACTCCCATACTGACCCACATCTTCCAGATCTCACTTAAAACAGGTATTGTCCCAGAAGACTGGAGGCATGCAATAATTGCCCCAGTTTACAAAAAAGGCCCAAAATGCAAACCCAGCAATTATAGACCAATCTCCCTCACATGCATAGCGTCCAAATTGATGGAGCACATCTAAGTGTCCAATATTATGTCCTTTTATGATAAACACAACATCCTTAGCCCCTATCAACATGGCTTCAGGTCAAAACGGAGTTGTGAGTCCCAGTTAGTAAGCTTCTCCCAGGAAATTCATGACAATCTTGAAAGTGGCCAACAAACTGATGTCATAGTCATGGATTTCAGTAAGGCATTTGATAAGGTGGACCATCACAAACTTGTGAGTAAACTAGAAAGATTGGGTATAAGTTATGAGGTTACAAATTGGGTACATTCCTTCCTTAAGTCACGCTCCCAGCAAGTTGTAGTTGAAGGTCAAAAATCAGGAATATTACCAGATCTCTCAGGTGCCCCCCAAGGCTCGGTATTAGGTCCCTGCCTTTTCCTTTCTTACATAAATGACCTCCCAGATAGTGTCAAAGGTAAGGTTAGATTCTTTGCAGATAATACTGTTGTCTACCTAACCATCAGATCTAAACAAGATGCCCAAACCCTCCAAGATGACCTTCATGTTTTAGAAAAATGGGAAAAAGACTGGTCCATGGAGTTCAACCCTGACAAATGTGAAGTTCTCAGGATAACAAGAAAAAGAAACCCTGTAATATTTCCTTATACCCTCCACAACATCCAACTAAACTCAACTCAAGAAGCAAAATACTTAGGAGTCACTATTAGTCAAGACCTTTCATGGACCAAACATATAAACAACATCACATCTAAAGCAAATAACTCCCTCAGATTCATTAGAAGAAATGTTAAAACTCCAAATAAAAAGATAAAAGAAACTGCATATAAGACCTATGTTAGACCTCAGGTTGAATATTGCTCCATAGTTTGGCATCCTTGGCAGAAATACTTAATTTATAAGATAGAGCAAGTACAAAGATCAGCTGCTAGATACATTTTTAATGATTATGACTATACAAGTAGTGTCTCAAAAATGATAAATGATCTTAATTGGCAAACCCTTGAACAGCGTCGAAACATCAGTGTTGTAACCTACTTGTATAAAATCCAAAACAATATTGTTTTTGTTGACCACCAACACCTTACTCAAACAAGAAATCTGAACTACCTGATACCCTACTCGAGGACACAATATCATCAATATTCTTTCTTTCCTAGGAGCATACGTCTTTGGAATAGCCTTCCCCTAACTGTTCAGTCTAGCCCCAGTTTAAACATCTTTACTGAGACGCTTGACCCATTCTATAAATTCTAAACTGCACACTATGTCTTTTAAATTAATAGTCTTGTAGAACTTTTATTCTTTTAACTTTTTAATTTGCATATAAATAAATTCTTTTATTAACAGTTCCCTGACAACGCACCTGCTAGTCATAATCAGAATTGATTGCTAAGCAGTATGATGTAGATGTTAAGAGGTTAACTAGTTACGTAACTAGTTAACCTGATAATTAACTAGTTAATTATCATTTATTATTATGCATTTATTTTCCGTTATGATCTTTTCTTTATTGAAAAAATTAACTAGTTATCAGGTTATCTGGTGGCAGAAATATGCCACCAAAGTAATTCATAGATTATTTATATTTTTTTATTTCAATAACAGGGCAATGAAGACCCTAGATCTCACACTATTGTTGGGAAAAGGTCACAATTATGTATAAACGTTGGTAATTATGTGTATCAATTTTGTCATAACATAGATCTATATGATTTGTGAAATATTTGTATTTGGATGCTTTAAAAGAAACAGCCTAATATCCAGTTTCTCAGAATTGTTTTTCATGAGAGGACTGAAATACACTTGTAACTATCAATATTCCTATATGTGTCAATATAAACTTAGTGACCCCTGGGGCATGATAAATTTTGACCATCTTGTCCGTATTATATCAAATATTTGTAGAGTATTACAAGGTTATGATGATACATAATTAATGTATATAATCCGGGTACTGTAGTTTAAGTGAATACAGATTTATTACATAAGTCTGTGTAAAATAAGTGATACTCATTTAAAATTTCAAAGCCATTTTAACTGCAGGAGCATCATAAAATTTTATGCATTTAAACGAACACTAGAAATTTTTATTGTGAATTCCTAAACAAGGGTATAATACGGGTGGCTCTATGAGCAAGATTCATTCAATATGTTAAAGACACAAGATGATGGTACATGCTTAATTAGCATCTATGCTCTATGCTCTGTTCATTCTGCTTTTTGAGAAGACTTTTTAAACATTTTTACTATGTAAAATCTATGTACACTATGTGACTATGTAACTTTCAAAGAGGTCTCTCTACTTGACAATGTTATAACGGTAAGTTGAATATCTAAGTTCTAGGCATTGTATTTCTCCAAAAGAAGACTTATATGTGATTTCCTATATAAGTCATCCAAAACTAAGTGTCCCTCGTGGCAGGCCTTTTAATCATGCCCCTGCAGTCTAAAAAGGCTTTCCCTCGTATGTTACTTATGTTTAAATAGACTTAAAACTGTCTAAAAAATCCTCTCCGAAATTAAAGTTCCCAGAGCAGAATAATTATCATGAAACATCACTTTGTGAAACTCTATAAAAATTATGAATTCTTGACCAAATCACTAAGTTTATATCGACTCATTAAGGAATATAATTATATGAGTCTTCTTGTGTGAAACAATTCTGAGTACCTAGATATTGGGCATGTTTCCTTTGAAGCTCACCATTACAAATAGTTCATAAATCATTACTGTATGTGTTAAAAAATGATTCTGCTAACATGATCTTCAGTAAGACTATGATATCTAATGCAAAATTCATTTTTCTCATTGCGTTGGCTTTAAAGCGATTTTTTATCTTTTCGTATTGAAATTGTTTAGGAATTAATTATATTCGTAAATAAGACAATATTATTTAACGCATGTTTTGCTGATGTATATTAAGTCTACTATCGTTATAATTAACTGATTATATTAAGAATATTGAAACAAGTTAGTTTAAACATAATTATTTATTTCCCGAATATTTACATGATATACATAATACAATACAATCAGAATACAAATATATAATATATTCAAAGAAAAGGATGAGAATGAAAGACTAAGTCTTATAAAATTCTTCTCCTTTTAGTGTAACTTTATAATGAGTCGATTTTCTAATATTTTGTACAATTATCAAAAAAGTGGAATGTAAATATTTGTGACGAAGTAAACGTTATATTTATAAGTAATCATCGGGATAAGAATTAGAAATTATAATAACGAAAAAAGAAAAAAGGAAAACAAATAATAAAATAGGAAGAAAACAAGTTCTATCTGGCACCAAATTTTATAACTGACTGTATACACATAAATGTATGTACATTATGAATGAAGACAAAAGCATCCTTAACAAAAACAAAACTTTTTAACCGTGACTATTTTCCTAAGAATTCATAGAAAGTTTAACAAAAAGCAAAGATATAAAATAAACTTACAATCTTCGTTGTTTTTGTTTTTCAATTATGAGATAAAATTACCCCAACCACTTTGACAAAATATAAAACCTACATATTTTATGTTTGCAATAAACACATAGTGTTAATTAAATATCAAAAACACTAATAAGAAACTAAGTAACTTTTTGAGTTTTTTACTCAAAATCTAAGATCTATTATAAAACCATGCTTAGAGAAAAAATATATGGGCCCCACGCAATTATTGCACGTTTTTCTTTAATATTTTTAGAGGTACTTTTTAGATAAATAACTTAAAAAGGTTGACTAACAATGTGGTTTACATATTATTTGATTATTTGTGATATGTTTAAATATTTGTTATCGAAATGTGCATAATTATTGATACAAATTATATGACAGAAGAGATATATCAGTTTTGCATAAAATCGAAGGCCATATTGGACGCCATCTTGAAGTTTGAAAATGTATGAAGGCGGATTTTGTTTCAAGATTTGAACTTTGTGAAGTGGAAAAAATTTAAAGCTTTTTGTGTAGTTAAAGGTATTTAAAATTTCAAATGTATGAGCTTTATGTAAGTCAATTTATTAAAGGGGGGTAAAATTTTAAAAAGGGGATTTTAGATAGATAAATTTTGGGAAATTCAAATTTTTAAAAACTCTATGGTTTTAAAAATGAAAATTTCCCGAAAATTTGTTTACAAATTTCACTTTCCCGACAGGGAGACCCCATTTCCCCCTCCAATTTTAAAAACCCCATTAAAAAATGATTAATTAAATGAAAAGAAATTTTTATTTTTGTGATTTTTTTTGGGTTTCAACTTTTGGGGTAAATAAAAAATTTTAATGTGCCCAAAATTTAAAACATTTTGAAATGCCAAAATGTAGCTTCAGCATCTTAGTATGATTAATAAAGCGACTTTCTACAATAATAAACAATTAATATTTTCGGCGTTATGAGATCAAAGTGCAACCTCACAATTCGCTTTAACTTCATTATTGTTTTCCGTTTAATACCTTAAACTTCAAATTAAAGATTATAGGATTATTTGTGCAAAAGAAGTAAGGAGTAGGTCTTTCATCTCATACGTTAAAGTCATTTCTCTTTAGTTCAACTGGACCTACTTCATTCAAACTTCATTTTTCTATTGCGGGTCGGGGGTCGTTGGAGAGGGATTTCAAATCGACAGTGTAAATGTAATATAGCGACTTCCCAGCTTGAATGTTAGAGCAAGACCTCATGTGGCCCTTCTTTCGTTATTTCAAACTCAAGCAATCAACTTATTAGAATCACCGATGTTTGTAAACAAGCTGGACAGCTTTCTTACTCAAAGTAATGAAAAGTTTCTAGCAAGTGGCATAAAGTCAACGGCCATTGTTGCATACGCTCCTTTTTTGAAAGCAGTTAAAACATTTCGTGTATACTTACTGTTCGCAGGGACCGTGTCACAACTACTAGTATTCGCTTTCGCTATTTTACCATTATCTGAATAAAAAAGATGCATACATTTATTTTCTTCATATTTTGATAAAGGTATGGACGCATCTTACAGTTCTATCACTTAACATATTTATTCAAATGCAACAACAATTTGTGATTCTCCTTGTTCATTCTTTATATTTTGTTGTCAGGTCGTTAACGATTTGCTGCTGTAAAAACAAAATCCTGTAGTGGCTTCTTCTGTCACCAAATAACCATTTTCATAACGAGTAATATATATTGGTAAAGCGTTGATAAACTAACTGCCCACTTCATTATTATGTTTTATAATGTTGTTTTTGCATTAAGTAACCGGACACACGTTAATTGTTTTATACAAGTAACCAGCTCAATAGAAAGGATACCTGATAGTGCAAACGACAGCTACTATTAACAACATGATCAGCAAAACTGCAAAATAGGCCTTTGGCAGTTTACAAAATATTAAAAAAAACTTACAAAGACAAGCCCGTACTAAAAAGGTAACATAAAGCTTAAACAGTTGCAAACTACTATACGATTATTATCAAGAACATATAGATATTTTGAAAAGGGATTTATTTAGGATGTTTTCTAATTTCTCATGAATTATTAATGAATGTCATCGGAGCAATAAAACGAGGTTGTGTTTTATAACAGTTCTTATCTGTTTGTATTTGTCTTATTTAATCCGTTAAAACATTTAAGATGTATGTATAAACTTATAAACTTATCAATACCCATTACTTGTCATGAGCGATCGCAATAGAACACGGATTTGAATTTTGAATTTTGAACACGCCCCTGGAAAGAAATAACGAAGCGAGTCGCTACTAGCTTTTTTAAAAGCTAACCTTGTATCTGTCATATTTTGCGGTTCGGATCGCAATATTCGTCTTAAGGTGACCCGCCCAATGGGCGGTATCGAGGCTTGCCGAGTTACCGCCCATGGGCGGTTGACCGAGGGACGGATATTCCTGTCCGAACCGCAAACATATGTCAGATATTTTTTCTTGGATATTCTACCATATTCCATTATATATTAAATTCTTTATCTTTATTTGAAAATGAAAATTTATATCATTACAACCGTAACTACTTTCTTACAACAGCGTATGAATAACAACTTCATTCATAACGGTAAAATGACGTCATCCTAACCGTGCCATTGTACAGCACGCGACTCATCTGGAACCCCCATGCCAGATGAAATTTCCGGCATGGGTAAAACTCACGGAAAAGCCAGAAATGCAAGAAAATATAATGTTCTTTATTATATGATCTAAAAATAGCTGCAATCTCATTGGTCCAAATTGTAGTCAACATAACTTTTTATAAAATCATATTCACTGGGTGTAGTATCATATTAACTGGCTGAATTGGATTTTCCAAGTCTAAATGTAGATTGAGACTCATATTCGATGACCATACACCGTAGACTGTTAATTGCGTGTGTTAATTAAAAAAATAATTGTTGCGTTTTGTTCTTTATGGCATATTTCTCGATTGAAATATCATTACTTTACTGTTATACTTAAAGGCTAAACCGCATCGATGAGTATAAACTTGAATTACTTTTGTATGCGCAGCGTTCGCGTAGTCGTTGCACGCCTAACACGTGCGTCTTTTTTCCCGCGCTTCAACGAGGCAAATTTGTACATGTATATAAGGATGTACTTTTTCGTGATTTTTTTTTAATTCTTAGCCTATTCATATAATAAAACAATTATTGACAATTGAGCCATTGAATATGATGTGATATTCACCGGCAGAAAGTCATATTGACCTCGGCTATCACCTCGGTCAATATGTCATCTGCCGGCGAATATCACATCATATTCAATGGCTCACTAGTCAATAATTGTATAATATTGAATGATAGATTATCTAAATGACATATTGGTTAACGACCATAATTTACAAATATTTTTTACACTAGACAAAAAGGCAAACTTTTTGTGCCTTCATAGTTTTTTTTTGTTTTGAAAAGGCGCACGATTTTATAAACAAGAAATATTTTATGTAATAAACTTTGTAATTCAGAAATGTGTCTAAATTCGTAGAATGCTCTGAAGTTTTTATTATGTAATGTTTCATTATGTATAAGAATAAGTCGTATTGTACAGACTGGTTTAATGTAAAGTGTGTTCATTATCTCCCTTACTTTTAATCTGTGAACTTACTTTTAAATCTATATATGGCGAACTTTTATATACTTTTATATGCCGATGCAATTGTATTCATTGTAGAAAGGAAATATGATGTGTTATTTACGTTGGATGTTTTACATTATTGGTGTTATTGTTCACTTTAAACGCTTGAGTACGGAACTTTAAATAAGGAGACATGTATAATATATCGAAACATGTGTTTAACTACTTTTAAACGATCAAACTAAATAGCAGTTTATACGGTATGTAAACCAGCGTGCAGAAAACAGTAACACACCTTTTATGTTTTCTTTGCCAAAACTACAAAATAGTATTTATATATAATGTAAATAATTATAATGCGTTTTACATGCGAAGATATTACAGAGTGACACAGGCTATATTTTCTGGGTATCTATAGATAAACGATGATATAAGTTCTCTAATTACCAGGTTTCCGCCCTGCCCAAAAAAAAATAAAAATAAAATAAAAAAATAAGAAAACAAGAAGAATATGGTTTGTTCAGAAATGTCAATTCTGCTAAAAGTGAGTTCGATTTTAAGCGACGTTATTGACGATGATCCTGTGTGTGTATGTGTGCGTGCGTGCGCGCGTGCATGCGTGCGTGCTATTTTCTTTTAAATAAAAAACTTTTGATTTTTCGATTACACGACTTGAAGTAAGATAGCAAGCTATCAAAATATTCAGATTATTCGTAATGACACAGTTTAATATTCAGAAGACCCTTATGCCAAACACGGTCAAATGCTTCGGAAATATCAGAGGGCACTATACAAAAAATATATATGTTCTGACCATTAAAATAGATAATTGAAAAATTGAAATTAACGGAAAATGACAAAATTTTTGTGTAACTTTCTCAAAGTTAGAGCGCAGTGAAATAAAATTTACAAGTTACTTGCTTATAGAAAACAATGATATTTTTGCAAACATAGAAGGTGTTCCAATGAGATTTCGGAGATTACATCAACTATGAACGAACGAAGAAAAACCGACGGACAATTTGTTAAAGATACATCTGTAAATTTGATCGTGACTGAAATAAACATCTCTCAAACTGTTTTCAAATTTAACATAAAGTATTCGTGACTTTTCAATTCTATATATAGAATAATGCATTGTTTTCAAACTTCCTTTTACGTTGATTTAATTCATTTCCATTTTACGTTATATTCCTTAAGCCGTAACGGGGGACTTTTTATGTTTAAATACCCCTGTCACTATATACTTACTTATCTTATTAAACAGTTTTATCATTAAATAATTTAAATTTTATGACCGTATGTAATTTTAAGCAGAATCATTAAAAGATGATTTATTTTATTTTTTTTTAGTATTTTTCAAATAATAATTAAAACTAAGAACACCAGTTTCAGACTCGATCACTATTGTCGTTGACCGTAATAGGTGAAAAGTAACAGATGTTTCATTGTAAAAAAATTTGCTATATAAATTGATGTCTGTAAAACAACAACTAAATGTACTTACCAAAAATAGCAACAATTGTCACTATAGTAAAATAAACTAAGACATCCATATTTTTTTCACTTGTTCACTAGTATTACCACCTTCAATCTAAATATTGAATACGGAAGTTAAAGTGGGAAACGCGTGATTGTATTTTGTACAATAAGAGTGTGTGATGCCCATAAATACATTATTTTCCACTTTTAAACACCGTAACTAACAGCAGGCTATAAAGATTCTTAAACTGTCAACTTTTCAAGTTAAGTATTCTTCAAAATCTTGAATTATGGGGGTTATATTGTACCACTGTTTAGGAATACTGTAATTTTGGAAGACATTGCCTTTATACCGCAGTTTCCTTAGCACCAAGAACTTTAATACCCGTGCAAGTACTTGGTAAAATATGTAGTATATGAGTATCCAATGTCTTGAATGCCGTTTCACAACAATACTACAGAAGCAAAATAACAAAGTATTAATACCATTGCGGCCTAAATACTATGTTCAACCTGCAAAGTAAATAGTGTAACAATTATTGCATAAACATTCAGTAAACGGTAACCTTTGCTGGACACATTTTATTCTCAACAAGGATGAAAATATATGTTGCTGCTTAATGCGAACTATTAACCATGTGAATTTAAGATAAAAGTTCAAGCGTATAAATAGTTTTCATAATCACAAGGCATAATATAAACATAGTAAGTAATGTTTACACTTTTATAGCTTAATAAAATATGACTTATTTTCAGTAAATTTCTGAATTATTTTCATACCATGTCTAATTGGAATTAAATAATTTGATAATTTTTTTTCACTTCACTAACATTTTTAGAACAAACTTGAAAGAAACTATTTAAAAAAACATTACGAAAATAATAGCTATATAATGTTTTTAATTTATTATATCTCTAAAATTGTCTTTTCGCTTGATACTGTTTAAAGGGACTCCACTGAGGTTTAAAAGCCTAGAAACATAACCTTGGATTGCTTACATAAATGAGCTGGGGCACTTTTAACAGAAATACATGAAATGTATATGCAAAGATGGTTAAGAAATATACTTTAAAATAAATTGAAAATCGTATTTTTATGCTTTTCTTAACCCGATTTGTGTGAGAAGCGTTTAAACGCTTTTCATTTTGGGTCATTTTTTTACAATTTAATTAACTATTCTGAAAAAAACGAAATGCGCAGGATTCTACAAGATTCGCCCGATTCCTTAAAAAAACACTAACAAACAGTACAATCAACGGCATCTTCAAAAATCTCCAACAAACTATCTGTCATACGTTTAGTTTTTTAGGGGTTTTTTTTCAAAATTTATCCAAAAGTTCTTACTTGTTTGGCGCCAACTGTCAAATTTGGATTTTTAATTTTTTCACCTCCATTCGGAGAGTCGAAAATAAATCCAAAGCTAACAAAATGCTTAGGTTCGGGTAAAGACCCAAACATTCTGCTCATTTCCTACATACAAACCAGAAAGAACTACAATGACAGAGAAATATCAAAAGTTTCCAGTACCTTCAAAACATCATGTCTGAGTTATTAAAAAATGACCGGGGCCATTATTCGAATCTGTCCCCTGCCCTCCAAACATTCAATCTTCTACGCAGTAATCTCCCCTAAGCAGTACAGAGATCTCTGGAACTACACACACTTTTAACAATAATTTGCTTTTGAAATTATATTTCATTTTTTTGTATACTTTTGATAATCTGTTGATACACTATAACACACGTACGAAAGGTTAAAAATAAAACAGAAAAAGAAAACGTTAGATTTTCTATGTAACGGTCAATATTTACATTGGAATTTTAATGTTACGTTATGTGAATTGCATCATCATGTGACGACGATTACCATCTGCCAAGGGAGGTAATCACTGTAAGGACTTTGCTAAACATTTCTAAATTATTTGAAAACATCTAATACACTCATTTCTGCTATGAAGTCTATTTCAAAATCCCTTTCCTTTAACCGGTGTTTATACCTCGTAAATTTTCTTTGCAACAGATTTTCTTTCCCTCAGTACTTAATCAGGAAAAGGTTGACAACCGACGAAACCAATTGATTCAAAAGCAATAAACTTTAGATTTATTTATTAAACATAAGAAAATAATAAAAAAAATATAAAGGTCAAAATGTTTTGAAAATATTATTGGGTTTTATATTAAACGCAAGCAGATATTACTTATGATTATTATAGAAATAAAAGCATTACGATTTATGTTTTCGCATATGATAAGAAGTAATTAGCAGATTAACAAATTGCACAATCTAATCTAGAAAAATTGTTATATTCAGACAATATTTATGTAGTAAAATCAATCTTCAATTTTACCAAAGATGTGAAAGTTATTTAACTACCATAAGAATCACATTAAGAATCACCCATTAAAATAGGAATATTTATCCCCTATCTATGACAATAGGCACTTTTAAATCAGTCATGTGTGTATGACATTGAAATCTTAGGTAATTTAATTGTTTCATAAGTATTTGATCATCACAATATTATAATATATCACCACTTAAAATCTTTTTTTGTACATTCACTGATAAAAATAACATTCCGCATTTCCATTTTGAAAGCCTCTTGTTGCCTTCCAAAATGCACTAAAGAATGGCATAGATATTCTTAATTATATATGATATCTATATTATAGCATATCAAAACAACTGATTGTTTCTGGGCGGAACTAAGGCTAAAACTTTTGTCTACATGTGTGCATATTATCATATGACGTATTTCCCACCGTGAATCGATTACATATCTTGTTTTTCTAATGTGAAATATTCATGTCCCGTTTCTGCCTCGGACATTCCGTTAGTCTCCTCGGACACGTCTTCAACCACTTTAAACAATGCAGCAGTTGGTGCAGGATTTTGTTCTGGTTCTAAGATAAGATAGTTATGTTTTGTACCGACAGCTGTTTCGTAACCTTTACCTGCATTATCAGCTTTGCTCGCAGCATGTTTCTTTTTTGTTACCTTTGCGTACTCGGTTGCTTCACTTCTATTTTGCAGATAATCAAAATCTTTCGCGAACTCATAGCCTGTATTTGGTGTAAGGTCTTGGGCATAATTGTTGCTATTCTTGTTTTTTCTTGCATCATCCTGTTTGGGCATTTTTATTTCACTGCTGCGTTTTAAATTATCAAAATCTTTCGCGAATTCATAGCCTGTATTTGATTGAAGATCCTTAGCAGATAGCTGTCGAATGTTTCTATTCTTAATATTATCTTCATTTTGTTGGTGTGGCATTTTGGTCGTAGACATTCCTGGTGTTTGTATATTTGTGTTCAGATGAGAATAATTATCAGCTTCGATTTCAGGGTCCTGCTCTCCAGCTTGAGCATGGTTGTATTCCGTGTCTGTGACTTCTATATGTTTACCCCTACTGTTAGTTAATGTTGTAGTGTTTAACTTGTTATACGTATCATCACCATTAACGGTTATTTCAGGTTTATGTGTCACATTCTCCAATTGTGTATGAGAGTATGTATTATCAGCGTGATTATTATTTTGCGTATTGTTAAAACCGATATGAGAGTAGTTTTTATCAATAAACTCTGTCTCTGATAGTTTAAAGTTATCATACGATTTCTTTACGTCAGCTTTGTCTTCGGGTAGAATATCTATTGTTTCATAATTATCTCCTTTGGTTCCATCTGAATTCATTATATCTAAAGGTATTTCTGCGTACTCATGCACTCTTGATTGACGCACATTTATTAAAGAACAATTTCAATCTATGCCATTCGCTCCGTAAATTTGGTTTGTTATTAATGAGCCAGGTCCACGTGTTTCAAATGAAGCTGCAGGCTTACGAGTCCTTCGTCTGTAAATCAAGAATTATAATTTAGCTTACGATTCCATAAAGTTGCCTTTGTTTACAATATATTCAAATAAGAGATATCTAAAATTAATCCACGCATGTTTTGAGTTACTTTAATTTCACTGACTTGTATTAAAAATTCATTATGTAATTTAAACAGTTCTTCTATATCGATTTATTTAAGAATTAAAAGAAATATATTATGGATGGCTTGATGAATTATTATATAAATTCTCGTATATGGATGCTATATAGATTGATGGATTTGTTAAAATGATACAGACCTCCACCATAAGAAAGCAACGCCTAATACTAGTGCAAGAACACAAACTACCACTGGAGTAATGATGTATGCAGAGTTTATATCTGAAAAATAATTTAGAAAAAAAAAAAGAATGAAATACCCAGGTTGCCTTACTTGAGATTTTTGTAACTTGTAAATACGTGAAGTATGTAAATGAACATCTTGTAAAGTTTAAAGATATACTATGGTCATCCTTAAACAAAATATTTTAATCACATACATTTATTGAAATCTATGAAATTCAACTGAATATGTCTATTTTGAATAAAAGAATATATGAACTATGTATGAGAAGTTGTATTGCCTATTATAGGTCAAGTAAAGTTAATCGTCTCTTTCAAAAACTGCCATTTTTTTTTATGAAACTATATTCATATAGTGACCACTTACAGTATATAAAATTCTAAACATAAAATATTTACTTTGTGTGAAGTCAAAACATGTCTGTTTTATATTTAAAAAGAGACTGTGCAGCGATTATCAATATTTTCAAATTTTATCAGAATATTTTAAAGCGAGTATTATTTACAAAAGCAAAATGCCCTATATAACTAGCGGAGAATCACTGTGTATAACCTGTAGCACATACAAATAAAAATAACGCAGGAATTAGTTATTGGCAGTAAGAAACAACATGGCCATATTGGCGAATATTGTGCTTCGTCGTTATTAATAATTACAATAACGCATTTATTACGCTTCTGTTTTTATAACATTTGTTCAACTTATCGAGTTATATAATTCTACAATAAGTAGATAACAGGTAATAAAGAAACATTTAATGAGGTAACGCCAATTTCGTAAATGATGTACCGAGGCAGTGCTTGTAACTTCATAGTAAGTGTCAATATATTTTGATTTATCCATTTAGTATTATCTGACACCCGATGACCGACAAAAGTCCAAGTATACCGAAAATTAAAAAAAATGCAGTTTCATATGCATTTTGTAGTAATTAATAACAACAATATATATATTAGCATTTGTAAGATTAATTAATTTTACTATAAATAGATTGGTTCGTTTCTGCTAAATATTGCACATATTCGGCGTTACTTTTGCAAAATTTCTGTGATATTTTACATTTCTCTGTTATTGGGTGTACACAGAGTTTTATAAGTTCTTGAAATTTAGCGTTTACTATCTGCAGTTCATGCTTTAAAAAAACTATGTTCCTCGGTATGAAAAAGATCTAGTAAAAACAAATCAACGATTAGTTTTAATGCTTTGATTTTAAACGATATGTAAATACCTGAGTCTTTTTCTTTCTGTGATACCGCAGGGTCTGATGGTACTGTAACAATAATTACACATTAAGATTTCTATGAAACGAGGGAGTCGATAATATTCAAGAATGTAATTAAAAGATATTAGATATTGCAATCACAGTTATCATGTTTAATCGAAACAATATCTGCACAGCCAGTTGTTTATTATTTAATATTCAATTTCTGCTTAATAACCAAAACGGTTTCAACATGTCAGGGATATTTTGTTTCTTTAAAAACAACTATAAAGTACTGTATAGTAAACATCCTGACTAAAATGATTTAATTGATCAAAAATTAACAAAGGATCATTATTCAATAACCTGTTCGTGAATTTAAATAATATTCGATGTGCATCGTTTGTATAAACTGCGACAACCACAAAACTGAATTGAAACTTCATAGAGAAAGAAAGAAAGATTATTTGCAAAATATCACATTAATATTTAAAACGATTATGGCAATCTTTAGACAAATCTGACAGGGAAAGCCGCCATAAATGATGCTTGATTTCTAATGAATATAAACTTCTGTCAAGTTTAAACAAAAAAATTGTACCCAAGATCGAAGAAGTTGTTATCATACTTGAACTTGTTACAGCCTGTCTTGAAGAGGATGTAGATGGGGTTTCAGCAGATGGTTTAGTTTGAAAATCGGAGCTGAATGTATTCAGTTTTGTTTTTGACATCGTTGTAAATGTCGTCATATACGGTGTTTCTACAACATAGGACAATAATTTGTTAAGTTAAAATGTAACAAAACAATACTAGTACAGTCCCTGTGGACTGTTTGTGTGCAAAAAAGGTCCATGGATAAATGTTATATCTTTGTAAAGCTTAATATTTGAACTTTACAAAAATTTCGGGTAGACATGTCAAATCATGGTACGTTTTGAGAAATCCAAAATGGCGGCCAAGATGGCCGCCAATGTATTGAAAAATGGTTCATACGCCTTTTATTTGCTAAAATTAGTTATTTTTTGTATTTATTTAGTATAGGTGATGTAAAAACATTAAATCCTATTGGTACAATATGAAAATGGGGCCTTTTTCATTATTTATACACATCCTCTGGATTTTATAGATTAATTCTGCTTAAAAAAGCATGAAAAATATACAAAACTAGAAATGTGTCCATAGGACACGGATGCCCCCACACGCCACTGTTCTGTCAATCTTATGACTCTAGTCAAACATTTTTTGGACTACATGTGCCACAAGTTGAAAACTAAAAATCAACAAAGGGCCTTAATTCTGTTAAATTTGGTCGCAGCAAAAATTCCTTCCTTTACTACTACCTACACATTAAGGTTGATAATCCCTGTAAGTTTAAGCAAAATCTGCCATCCGGTTTAAGAGGAGTTGCATTCACAAAATTTTTACATATTATATAGTGAAAAAATCAACAAAGGGCCATAATTCTGTTAAATTTGGTCGCAGCAAAAATTCCTTCCTTTACTGCCATCTACACATTAAGGTTGTTCATCCCTGTAAGTTTAAGCAAAATCTGCCATCAGGTTTAAGAGGAGTTGCGTTCACAAAATTTCTACATTGTATATAGTGAAAAAATCAAGGGCCATAATTCTCTTAAATTTGGTCGCAGCAAATATTCCTTCCTTTACTACCATCTACACATTAAGGTTATTCATCCCTGTAAGTTTAAGCAAAATCTGCCATCCGGTTTAAGAGGAGTTGCGTTCACAAGATTTCGGGACGTACGGACGGACGGACGGACAGACGTACGGACTGACGGACGGACGGACAAGTGCAACGCTATATGCTCCCACATTGTGGAGGCATAAACATCGATATAGGGTTGACATTTTCTCCTATAAGGCAAGGCATAGCGGAGAAAATGAATATTTTACCATATATTACAAAGATCTGGACAACATCTTAGTCATTGCACCCTTATTTTTATCTTTTTTGTGGAAGAATGTGGATTCTGATATTCCAAAAGTGGGTTGGGTACTCGAAAATTAAGTCTAAGTTTTTGTGAACTGGTATATGATGATAACTGAAACTATGAATTGTCAACATATATTGCACTTTGTCATGTACCTAAAGTTATAAGTAATTAAGAATGCTAGATTTTATATTTTGTGCAACAATATTGAACATGTTCTGTTAACGGGGTAGTTAATTGAAAGATACATAAAATTAAACACACCTGTACCATTATGATACTTTCAACTTTTAGCATTTTTACCATGTTGATAAGAATAACATGATAATACCATACACAAATTTTGGGCAGCTTAAGTATGTTATAATAGCATGGTAAATTCTTTTTTTAATCTGTAGTCGCATTTAGGGCTAGCAAATTATCAAAACATATAACATTTTAAAATCAAGAATTTGCATTATGCATTTAGAAATACCTTTACTCAGTTTCTTTTTTTTTTCAAACTGCTATGCAGAAAACATGTCATGTCAAATGGGTTTGTTGTTACTATTGAAAAGGATAAAAAAATGGTGAAAATAATAAATAACAAGAGCTGTCGGTAGGACAGCAAAGCTCGACTATTCTTAGTGCTTGATAGTAAAAAAAAGCCTTGATTAAAAGGTAAAATTTTCTCAGTAAAAAAAGGGAAAATTTTTTTTTAATCCTATTACAGTTATAGGGGTTGGAGAGGTCCTTTATGCTCTCAAAGAAGAGTATAAAATTTCAACATG